TTTGAAAAAAAAAAGGCAAATTTACTATCAGCATAACAGCATGTGCGGGTTCTTGTACAGAGGGTGTAGGTTGCCTACAGCCGGCTTCAATTTAAACTTCCAGATAATGGGATTTAACAAATACGGTACTATGGATCCAAGCCGTTAGCAGCTCTCTGCTGTATTGATAGCCCTACGCTTTCAATCAGACCAAGGCTATGCTTTTAACTGCCACGCTAGTTCACGTTGATGATACCTATAATATCAACTCAACAATGCATGTTCTACAACTACATCTACTGCTACCAGTACGACTACTACAGTGCATGCATTTAGTTCAGTCCCACAGATACATACACTCTAAGAACAGGCAAGGGGAGATGTGAAATGTTTTACGGGACGACAGGTGTTTTGTTTTTTAAGTAAGGGAAATTAATAAAAACATCAAAAGAAAGAAAGTGTACAAAAAAATAGAGACATTTCTCAAGAGTTGATATGAGTCGTTTCTTGAACCGTTTCGTCCGAACAAGCAAAAAACATGCAACCAGCTGCTACTAACAAGAAGCTGGACACTGAGAGAGGATTAATAGGTGTGGACAAACCTTCCCGCTGAGAGCGCTCAGAAGAGTGTTTGAGAGGAGGTGTGCACGTCCGAGTGTAAGAGAGGCCGGAAAGTATGCCTCAGAGACACCCTCTCTCACAGCAGCCCCAACCAAGCAAGAGAGAAAACAACAAAACATAACTGCTCACACTCACCATCAAGGTCAGTAGCTCACGTTACGAGATTTGTTATAGCTGGCAAGTATAAAGTACAGTAAGGGGTTGTTGGGGCGCAGGGCTCAAAGGCAGCACTGGCAAGCCGGGACTGGTGCCCAAAATCCAGATGTGCCGGGGGTCAGGGAAGGGGGGAGCAGCTCCTGGCGCTGCGGCACCGCGCTGTCCCACCGCGCTGCGTGCGGCCTCCCGGAGCCGAGCAGCGGGGGCCGGGCTGGATTACGCATGGCCTTATCGGTTTTGTCTCCAGTCCTCAGGGAGGAATAGTTGTGGCAACAGGTTGGGAACTGGAAAAATCTCAGACTTGTCAATGAACCAAAGAGGAAGGAACGAAAACCCTCTCCTGCCAAATTTTCCTTGTCTCGCTCTCCTGCCAAATGAATCCCTCCCATGTCAAATGCAAGATAAATATGTCCCCCCCCGATGATTGTATTTTAAAAAAAGCATTTACACGACAAAAATGTTTTACACGTAAAATATGTCAGGTGAATTCAAAAGAAACATGATATTGATAGTGAAGTTGTCTAGGAGGAGTTTGCAGCATTCAGACTTTTAAGTTTGCTCGTTTTCCGTGGCTCAGGTCCCAATTCATTAAAAAAAATACAAGAATGGATGAGGTTGTCAAAACCAGCTGAGGGATTCGGCAGCACAGTCCCACCCGGCGTGAACGGACGTGGCCAAACCCCCCTCGTCTGCTCGAGGGACCTCAGCTATCGCCTCATCACTGGGACGTCGATTGGGCACGTGATTTATAAAGAGAAGCATCGCTGCCTTCACCCTGCCGGCACGTGAGCGGCTAAGCTAGACGTGAATTTACGAGTGGCACCGAGCACGAGTAGGGGGAAACGTCCCTTTCTGCTGGCTGTAGGACAGGGCTGCTGTGACAGATAAAAGAACTTGTTTATCTAGCAAGGCGAACTGGTGACTGCATCCTCACGCGCTGGAATAGAAAAAGAAGGGGCGAGGGCAGGGAAGACCAGGCAGTGCAGAACTGGGGCCAGGCGCTGCCCCAGTGCGGGTAACTGTCCCCGGGCGGGCTCCTTTCGCTGTTAAACAAACGTGCAGGCTTCCTAAGAGGAGGAACATCACTCCGGGGAGAAACCAAGGTGGTCAGTGCCCACGCACCGCAGCCTGGGGGGTTGGAGTGAAAGGGCTGCAGCTTCCTTGGAAGACCAAGATGCATGCCTGGAGGTGGACGCTCTCCATGGGCGCTCAGCCCCACCGGCGGGCACCAGCACCCGGGCTGAGCTCTGGTGCTGCAGAGCCACCACGCTGGCAGTGACGCCAGGAAGGTAGGGATGAGCCGGCAGGATGGGGCCGGAGAACAGAGGTCAATTTGGAGTGAGCTGGTGGGGCCAGAAGGGGCAGCAGCGATTGGGACGTCTCCGGTAGCCTCTGGGCAAAGCACTCCCCAGCCAGCGGAGGGGTGGTGGGAGGCACCTGCCCCCGGGCGTTTTCCAGCTCTTTTCCATTTACTGGCAGAAAGGGCCCAGTAAGGGCCAACTGTGCTGCGCTCCGTGCTCTTGGATTAGGCACGCATGAAGGAGGGCTGTGCAAATTTGCAAAGGAAAAAGAAAAACCCAACGGAAAAGAAAAGAAGAAAAAAAAACCCCAACCATTTTTCTTGTAATGAATCGGGCCCATACACTGTAGCACAAGATCGATCGTACTCTACTGCTCCTGAATACAATTCACTACCATTGCTGATGGAAGTGGCAAACCCAGGATGTCCCTTCCGAAAACTGTCTTTGGATGGAAATGACTCTATGTAAAACACCACTGTTCCCAGAGCACGTTTCGCTGCAAATGTGAGCGGCCGTCGGGCCAGGCCGGTGACAAACCCATCTTCCTCCTTGAGATCTCGGGGCTGGGGAGAGGGGGGCTCTTTTGATTCAGTTTTGGGGTTTTGCCAGTTTTGTGCACACAGGCAATTTTGAGGCTTGAAAGACATTTCCAAACACCATACTGCTCTTTAAACTTGCCAGAAAGGGTGTTGTTAATTTAGGGTTAGATTTAGTTTCGTATTGCAAGTTCAAATAAAAAACAAAAACGAAAAAACCAAAACAAAACAGAAAACCCAACAGAAGAAAAACCGAAAAACACTCAAATTAAAGACAAATGATTTTCAGGCACAGAATTGATCAATGCTCAGTTCAGTTGTAATGGGCACCAAAAGCACTCCGATTAAAAAAAAATAATAACCAGGGAAGCAACGTTAATCCAGCCAAACCCTCTGTGCCTTGCTAAGGGGCAACTCACCAGGTCTGTTTGCACGTAAAACAAAGCCTGAAGGGCAAAACATGAGGAAGAGGCAGAAACAATGAAGTCTGTTTTCCTGTAATCATACGCAAAATCATTCTCTCTTTTTTTTTTTTTTTTTTTTTTTTGTTAATTTAGGGTTAGATTTAGTTTCGTATTGCAAGTTCAAATAAAAAACAAAAACGAAAAAACCAAAACAAAACAGAAAACCCAACAGAAGAAAAACCGAAAAACACTCAAATTAAAGACAAATGATTTTCAGGCACAGAATTGATCAATGCTCAGTTCAGTTGTAATGGGCACCAAAAGCACTCCGATTAAAAAAAAATAATAACCAGGGAAGCAACGTTAATCCAGCCAAACCCTCTGTGCCTTGCTAAGGGGCAACTCACCAGGTCTGTTTGCACATAAAACAAAGCCTGAAGGGCAAAACATGAGGAAGAGGCAGAAACAATGAAGTCTGTTTTCCTGTAATCATACGCAAAATCATTCTCTCTTTTTTTTTTTTTTTTTTCTTTTCTCTTTGGGTTTGTTTTTCCCCCTCCACGAAGGGGAAGTAGGAAAAGCCGGGAGATGGGGAATCCCCACAACCAGTCTGGCAAGTCACCCCTTAGGCGCTCTCTACATGCCACAAGATGAAACTGGTACAGATAATCCTTTGTAGCCTGCAAGCAGTGCCAGTTTGCATGGAACGGAGTTCTCCTGGTGTCTTTCTTTGGCCTCCATGGCATCAGGCTCGCACTCGAGACACACCTGGGCCTGCGCCCTCCTCGTAACCCCTCACGCAGCGGTTTAGTCGGGTCTTTTCGGGAAGAGCCCGGTTAACCCACCGGGACTGCCAGAAAAGCCACCGAGAAACCCCCGTTTCAGGACTGCGCCATGAGTGAGCTGGAAAGCCGCTGCCACCGCTGCGTCCTCTGCTCCGGCGCCTCCCAGGGAGCCAGGAGGCGGCGGCGGGCGCTGCCGAGCCAACAGCTCACTGATGGCTGTACTGAACACTTAATTACCTGAGCAAAGCACTAATTCACGTGTTTAGCTAAATTTAAAACCTAAGGCAATAACGGTAATTGGCAACGATTTATTTATTTCCCTTAAGGGGAAAAAATAAAAGTTTTCAGAAGGACAGGAAGAAAAGCTTTGACGTTCCTCGTGAAAGCAAGCCGGGGTTCAAAGCGGGTAGGGCGGGTGAACCGCCAGCGGCACTTCAGTGCCGACAGCGCGCGTGTTGGCGTTCGCCCCGCGCAGGCAGAAGACGCCGTCCCCAAGGGGACACGGCCCCTCGCCACGGGGGTGCCCCAAAAAGGCCGCCCCTCACAGCGGGCTGCGGCGGGTCCGGGCACGGCGGGAGCGCCGGGCCCCCCCGCCGCCACTTCACCCCCATGCCAGCTTTCCATGAGAAATGAAAGCTTTTTTTTCAAAAACACAAATTAATTTTTTTGGGGTGTCCTTTATAACCTCAAATTTAAACCAAAGAAACAAAGAAACCAACATAATAAAGGAATAAAGAAAGAAACAAATCAGAATATCTACCCTGGTTTTGGCAGTTCTTACCGGGCCCCCCCGCCGCCACTTCACCCCCATGCCAGCTTTCCATGAGAAATGAAAGCTTTTTTTTCAAAAACACAAATTAATTTTTTTGGGGTGTCCTTTATAACCTCAAATTTAAACCAAAGAAACAAAGAAACCAACATAATAAAGGAATAAAGAAAGAAACAAATCAGAATATCTACCCTGGTTTTGGCAGTTCTTACACCAATCTCCTGCAAGGTGCTCCAGGCCGCGTGGCCTCTGCTTGTAGTTTGGGTTTGGTTTGGGATTGATTATTCATTTTTTATATAATTTCTTTTTTGATTGTTTGTTTTCAGGTCCCCAGGATAAGTGTGAGGAAAATCAGAGAAATGATGGAGAGCTGCAGCCACACAGAATACCGACAGAGCTTTTACCTGACCCTGCACTCTGAGGGTTTGCTCTTCCACGGGCCCCCCTACCTGATCCTCTTGCTGCCGCCACGGCTGCCGCTGCTACTGGTCCATAAGCCGCTGCCGGAAAACCTGGCCATGGAGAAAAGGAGAAGGGTAAAGAAAGAAGCCAGCGGGTACCGCGAGTCTCTGCGGGGCGCAGGGTGGGCGCCGAGGGCACGCCGTTTCCAGAGGTCGCCGTCCCGGCTCTCCGTGCCATCAACAGGCACCATTTTTAGAAAGAGCCGAGCCCTCGCCATGTGCCCGCTGCCAGTGGTCTCTGCCGGCACAAAGGTGGCCCAAATCCCCTTGGCAGAAGAGGAACGTGGCAGCGGCGCGTGCCGCTGATGGTGCGCCTGGCCACGGCATGCCGCGAAAGCCAAGGCGCCGGGGCGGACAGACGGGCGGCAGAGGCTGCAGCACTCAGCTTACGTCTCCGTACTCTCAAACGGCTAGGGTCAGACCGCTCCGCAAGACGACGAGGGAATTCTGTTCTTTGCTTATTTGCAAGTGATAATAACGTGCTGATCTACAGACATAGCAGTAATGGGAAATATGAGGAGGTCCTCATGTCAAGATCACAGATTTGCTGGGATCAAGCAGAAAAAATTCACTGAAATGTAATTTAAAAAAGAAAGAAAGAAAGAAAAAAATCTCTTGAAAGCAAACCAGCCGCAGATCAAGGAGCTCTAAGACATACACCCTGCTACAGGGGGACCGAGCCCTTACGGATGAATGAAATGCTGCTAGCAAGATTGCAGATTTAGTTTCTTTACTTAATTAATATTCAAAAGATCTGCCAGAGGCTCTGACTTTAAATATATGTATTTTAAGAGGGCAATGGCAAGGTCCAGGTAATCGGAGGAACCCCAAATCCCCTTGCTGCGAAGTCAACAAAACCCTCGGAGGTTCCTGGTCTCTGGGGAGCTGCGACCGCTCCTGGCACCCGACAGGACAACCCCGGGGCAGCCACCACCACGGGACGCGGGCTCCAGGACTTTGATCACAGCTGCTTTGCAATGCTGAAGAACCACAGAAAAACAACTGAGGCAACAGAAAACAAGAACAGCGAGCTAGAGGAATGGAGAGAGCGAGACCCAGAGAAATCAGCAGACTACAAGCCCGCTACCTCTAGCACTATCGTCTCAGCTACACGTAATCTACTGGGGGAAAGGAGCAGATATCAACTAGGCTAGAGTGACTTGAAGCTACTTAAAACATCAATTAAAAAAAGACATACTTGCATTTAAATATGGTAATAGGGCTGTTGGGGGAAAAAAAATAGTATAGGTAAAAGTACGCACAGCTACCCGCGGCCGCTGCCTGCTACTGCTCCCCACGCGCAGAGCCCACGCACCGCACAGCAACTCCTGTTCCTTAATGCCGATGTGAATCTGATTCTTTTTATTATGTTGATGAACTGCTACAGTCTGTGTGGTGTGGGATGCAGGAGGAAGCACATCCAGACTGGGGGATATTATAACCAAATACCCAAGCGCTAAATTCCCTCTTGATGGTGATGGAGCCATCGACCCTGGTTGGGCCCCCCGACGTATGTTTAAGGCTGGAGCTGCGATATGCTGGAGTGAGAAGACCTCAGCGTTACAGTCAAAGCAATATCCAAACAGCAGGGAAAGCATCAGCAGGACAAGGGCTGAGGCTCTGGGGCTTCGTTTTCATGCAGAGCCATGCCTAGGCCAAGCCCCGAGCCCTCCCGCTGCGGGTTAGGCAGCAGCAGAGCTGGCACCATCCCTACAGCCTCTCCTCCTCCGCTCCCTGCCCGCCACGGCGCACGTCCCAAGAGCAGCGTCCTCTGCGTTCCCATGGCACGTCCAGGACCAGCTGGCCACCAGCAAATCTCTCATTTGGAGGCTTCAGGGGCTCCCTAAACCATCCGTAAGGGATCAGAGGAGCTGTGGATTTTCCACGGAATAAAATGCCTCTGCCAAAACCAATCAAATACCCTTCAAATCACCAAGCGCTCCCTGAAAACAGCATAAAAACCAGGGCTGGAAAGTTTGTTTCTCTTGTTCAACTGCCAGGGACACTCAGTATCTATTTGAAATGCAGGACAAAAAGTTTTGCCATGCAAAAGAAGAATGAAATAACAAGGGTGGAGAAGGCACTCCACAGAAGGAGCCTGAACAAAGGATCTGTTATTGCATTCCAGTGGACAGATGTGTGAAAAATTAATCCCTCCACCCCCAAAGAAAGCTATTATCCCAGTTCTGAGATAAAAGCATCTGCGCGACATGGCACTCCAAACAACTCAAGTGTGATCGGCTGCTCGCGCTCTGCCCGGGAGCGGCAGCGGCACGGCTGTGCGGCCCTTACGGCTGCAGAAGCGGGAGACGGAAACAAGGATTGATTATCAAGATTGGCAAAAACCTGCTTACCGATACAGACTCACGTGCTGGCTCCATCACTGGAGGATCCCTAAATCAATCCAACGTACTGAAATGACATTTGCCAGGCACTGCATTAATCAGCTCATTCATCTGAAAACAAATTTCCCCGTCATCACACTGTTGAGCGCATTAATGCTGTGCGGCATCTCACAACCGTGCTAACTTACTTTTGCACTTATGTGGTGGGTTGCTCCCGAACCTCTCAGCCGTGATCGGCAGCTGACGCTGACCCCACGTCACAGACGGGATAAAACGAGGCACAAAGAAGCAGGATGACTTGAGAAAGACGTTTGCAGACAGCCAAGGGTGCAACCGGGCTCTCGCAGGTTCTGGGCTCAAGCTCCACCACTAATCTCCGTAATTCCCCTTGTACCAACCCTGTAGCATTATTTAAGCCCTTCGGTCACACTGTATTATCACCTCCTGTTGTTTATAAACTTCTACACCAGTGAAGACTTCAAAGAGTAGGACTACAGCGACAGCACAATTAACACTGAACCCGCTTTGTGTACTGCAAGAAACTTCTGCCTCTATCACCCTTCTGCCTGTGTTGTCACACCATTTTATTAAAATTTGAGAGCTGAGGTATCTGCAGCTCTTTAGTGAAGAGGAAAGCATTAGCAGGCACTTCTGCTGGTTTCCAGGCCCCCAGAAGGAACCTGCTTGTCCAAGGAGCCTCTTGCTGGTCTCCCAGGCCACACTGATGCTTTGGAGAGGCTGCGTGCCTGCATGCGTTCCCCTCCCCTGGCATCAGGGTTTAAAACAGAGCGAAATGCAGCTGCCGAGTCCCAGTGGCACCCTCCCGGGTGCTGTTCCCTGGGCAGCGGCAGAGGTGGATGCGATCCATCCCGCTCTGACTGACGGGGACCCTGGGACGGGGCACTGGGGACGCCTCCGAGGGCCGGAGCAGGGGGCAGGGAGAAGCGTTAGCCAGCAGAGCCCGGCGTGTGACGTGCCAGCGCCACCGTTTTCCCTTAGCAACACCTGGGAAGCGCAGGCTTCTGCGGGAGACGGTGGCTTTGGGGATGCAGGACTGCCGGGAGTGGGGGGACCCCAGGGACCACGGAGGGCTGTGGGGTATCAGCAGGCGCTTTGCACCCTGTAGCCAGCAGCCAAGGGGCTAGCACGCTCCCGGTTCATTTTTAACAGGCGGCTTGGAGGTAACGGGGTGCCAGGAATGGGCACCTGGACCACAGCACCTTGAAGCCAAAGGGAGCATCGACCGCAGCGTGCTCTGGATCCCACCCCCAGCGACGATCCCATGGCGCCAGCCCAGCTCCCTCCGAGCCCTCTGCTCTCTGAAGTCAACTGGAAAATCAAAAGGGGTGGAGGGAGAGATCAATTCATTCATCACGTTTGTTTGAGGCGCTCCGATTCCTGCCGACACGATCCCTGTCCTTCTTTGTGTATCCGCTGCTTATAATTGCCTAGAGAAAACAAGATACCAAAGCTGTTCAAAAGGACAAAAGTGCCCACTTTAGGCATCGCAATTAGAAGATATTTTACAATAAACATTTTGCTACGGGCTCACACACTGTCCAGGAAAGCCCTGAGGATTCACATCAATTTCATGCTCTCTTATTGCTCTGAACGAGCTAAAGCCAGTATTTGGAGTTCAATTTTTCACAGATAAATTTTTCTGCTTCCTGCATCAATAGTTTCACTTTAAATACTGGAGCAGCCTCGTGCGAGGGAAGATGGACACATCTGTTTTCAAATGCTTTGCCCTAAGGTCACAGATTTAGTCAATGGCTGGCTGCAAGCAACTGCCTTCTCCAAGGCAGAAATAAGTCTGGGAGAAGGGGGGGATCAAGGGGTGGCAGATGCCCAGGAGCAGCAGGGCTGGATTTGGGCACGCAGCGCCCAGCCCCGCCGTCTCGTGCTCGGCATTCCCGAGCAGGGAATGCTGAGAGCCCAGGATTTAGCGGATCTTGCAAGGGCTTTGTGAACAAATCTGGTGAGAGCTATGCTGCCTGGGCAAGGCCAGTCCTTATGGGGGACTCGAGGGGCTCAAGGGCTCCCGGAGAAGGGCACGCTCCCTCCGCAGGTCTCTGCCCTGCGCCACCTCCCACTCTGGTGGGATCGTTCCTTTCTCAAACCTCCAATTTCTCCTTTACCCCAGCCTGAAGCTGGCTACAAGGCAACCAGGAGCGAGTGCAAAACACAAGAACTGTTTTACACCCCGTTTTACACGCGTGCTGCCAGGACTCCCTCGCGTGCAGCCTTGCCTTTCTCTGTGAGAAACCACTGGCTCCTTCAGACCTGCTCTGCTCTCTTCAGCCCTTCAAGACCCCAAATACCTTGCATCCCCAAAGGACACAAGACCCTGTCCTCTACAAACAGCCAGACAGTAGGAATCAAACCAAAAAGAAGTCACAAAGATCATGAAATTAGTTCGTACACCAAAAAATATCATGCAAAGAATTGTCTCTGCTTCTAATGGCTAAAGCACTTGGGGCACATGAGGTCCTATGTTTAGACTTTAGCAATAAGCACAGGGATTTAAAACCAGAACAAAAATGGAAGCCGAGATGCTCAAATCATCACCTGACTCCAGCACCAGACTTCAGAAAATAACTGAAATTACGGGACACGCATGGAGAATAAAACAAAAGCCACCATAAAACTGTGCCTAGCAAGCAAAATCCTTCCTCCCTGCTTACAGATTGTTTGGAGCATTTGCAC